TAAACTTTAAATTGCAGCACCGTTAGAATTTTTTTTTCTTATCTTAACTTGACAAATTCACAAACTGAAACAATGCACAAATCTAATACTACATGGCGAAAACTGCCATTTACTGACTACATTCTTCAAGCAAACAGAGCTCCAATAGGACCCCTGACTAACCTCGGATCAGGGTCTTTTTTTTTGACATGAGAAAGAAAAGATGATCTACCGAGAGTTGATTTTTATTATTTTGCATGTTACCATTTGATGTCCGCGGGGAACAAAGCCATTTTGTGTAGCAGCTTTTGGGGGGCACATGGTAAAATGTCTGGGATTAGTTGCAGGCGATTCCTTTTCTAAGTCTTATTGTACAATAATATTATGACCTACATCAGTCAGTGTTGCCAAAGTAGCAGTCACCTTTTCTGTCAAGGAAATTTATGAGAATATAGAGATTATTTCCATTTTATTTTGATTATTTTGTATAGGATGTAAGATTTTGTAAAAGTGAAATCAACCTGAAAAAGTCAGTGAGTTTTCCTTCAAGAAACAATGACAAATCAGATGGTAACATGTATTTGACAATACTCTGGAATAGTGGAAGGTTTGAATCCTAATTTGTAATAAGCGAGAGTTGCCTTTCTTTCTTTCTTTGTTTTAATTGTTGTTGTTGTTTTATTGATGAACTGTTTTGTACAATCTTTCTTTTTGCAATGATAATACAAAATTAATGCAGATGCCCCTTTAGTTGAAGTGTAGCTATTTCTGCAAACATATAATTTCACTCTCAATCGATTTGCACAAAGATTGTACCAGCAATTAGAACAGGTTTCTGCAAAATTGGGGTCCAAAAGGTTTTCTTTGTACAGCAAGGTCTCAGGGGATATCAAGATGCAGGAAGGTCAGAAGATGTAGTTTCCCTTATTTAAAATAAAATAGAATACTGATTGCCAAGTCGTAAGATTGTTTGTTCCAGAGGATTTTGTCAAATTAGTAACTGCAGTACATTGTAACTCAAAAATACAAAAGCACTACCAAGCTTACATGTACACGTATCTATATTAATGCTTGGATAAAATAGAAATAAAAAAATGGCCGGCATCAGAAAAATGTATTTTCCAGTATTACACTTTGATAGGTCTCTAGCATAAACAAACTCTCAAGACTTTTTTTCTTGATTTTCTGTTTTCTTGACAAGTCACTGGGAATGAAAGAATGCTGTTAACATCCATGTGATCTGTTTTCTTTACAAGTCACTGTGAATGAAAGAATGCTGTTAAAGGGACAATGTCATTAACTGTGCATGTACAACATTTTCATTGAAACTTGAAAAGTTCAGGCAGAATTTTTAAGTTTGAATCTTGCAAATTCGAAGTGGTGTCGACTAAAGGAGCCAGTTGTTGGTGTGTGGAAAAGCACCAATGAGGGGAATTTGACTGCAGTAAATATAGCCCATGTTATTAAAACAAGAAAGCTGTCACAAAGGGATAATTTGGAAGGAGAAATATTGTTTTGGGCCAATTAGGGGCTGCCTGTCAGTGCTCCCATGAGGTAAATGCCGAGTCTTGGCCAGTTGAGGTATCAGCGCATCTTGACCTCCTTATCTTAATTGTCTGAGCAATCTGTATTCACTAACATGTAGCTTTTAACTGAAGCATTGAACGTTGAATTCTGTAATTCTGTGAAGATATGCTAGGGAAAATAATTGAAAAACAGCATGTAGTTTGAGACAGTTAATAGTCAGTTTGACAGTTGTAATAGTAAGATATGGCATTAGTTTTTTGCTCTTTATTGCATTGTGGCCTTCAGATTGTAACATAGTACGAAATCTGCATTTTCTTAGTATTCAGTTGGTGTATTAAATTTTGAAATCTGTAGAGAAAGAATATTTACATGACACAGTTAGCATGGTGAAGTTGAAAGATACTGGTCGTGTTGCATTCAACAGTAACTGGAGTGAAATACGGCATGATTTAAGGCTATTAAATGCATCTTGACCCTTAAATTGTTAGGTTCTCCGGAATCTGCATTCAGTTAGCTTTTATGTGGTGTATAAAACTTAGAAATTTGTGGAGATTTAGTAGAGAACAGAAATTATTTGAGGTGGTTAGCAATGTGAATTTGAAAAATGTGTGGATTGTGTCGCAATTCGACCGTATTTAGAGTGCCATACGGCATGATTTGTAAAGTATTTTCAGGTTATTACTGTTAAATTGTTATGTGCTGTAGAATCTGCTTCAATGTAGCTCATAGTACTTAGCAGTGTTCAAGTCAGAAATCTGTCAAGATATACTAGAGAAAAAAACTATTTAGACGAAACAATATTAGCGCACTCTGCAGGTTGTCTCAAGTTGTTCACGCTGCGACCCGACAGGGCCGGAAACATGGCAAGAGTTTATTCAACGGAAACTGACCTCAAAATAAATTAGTTTTGAGAAATCTACTTTCTGTTAGCTAAAAGAGGACACATTGTGGTTAAATATCCCCCTCAAAAGGACTTTGAAGACGATATGGAGAAAGCAATCTTGCACATGCGTAGCCCGTGACACTGTCCCTTTCCCAACCACGTGATCCATATAAAAGAGACTTCTGTGAAGTGCATGTAGGCTTCTTTCCATGGCAATTGATGTGAAATTTTAGCACAGAAAAAAATTATTGATGTGCAGGAGAACTATGTACTCGAGCTGCTCAGTCACATCATTCTCAATTCATATTAAGCTTGATATTATTAGTAGTTTCATTCAGTGAGAACAGGCTATAAGTTGTCTGTTGTACAGAATGATAAAACTTGAAACTTGTACCAATGAGGAAGAATTTGATGACGTGCTAGGAAACTAGTTAAGACAGTTAACCGATTGGGTTAACAGTGTGAAACATCATTGAATCACTAACTTTCTATCCTGAGAAGTAATTTCATATGCACATTAATTTATTTTGGAAATACAGCTTGCAGGCTATTCTGATGAAGTTTCTCATATAGATAAATAATTCACTTATCCTCCTAAGAAAAATTTCAAGCAAAAAACTACATAACTATACTTACATGACTGTTCTCTTCACTAGAAGCCCCTTCCCCTTTAACACCTGCCTTATTTTTGAGTGTTTGGGTGGGGAAGACATGGATGACAGAGATAGGATGTTTCAAGGCTGAGTGATATAAGATTTGCATTGTTTCATTCCCTCTGATGTTGTGACTTAGAGATTTGTTAGTGTTAGTGACTTTTCAGTATACACTTTAATATTACAAGCATAGCATTGTATGCCAGTGTACTCAGCCAACTCTTACTGATTTTGTTTTTATGTTTTTAAAAAAATATGACCCCCTGTAGGCCATACATTATGCCACAGGCTAGGGTACATGTAGGCCAGTTGGCCTGCCTGCCCCACATTTCATTTTGACCCCTCTCCCTGCTCTTTACAGGTGTGTAGGGCCCCCCTTCCCCACTTTTTTGGGAGAAATTAATTAAAGTACATGTACGACTTACCAATGTGTTGTAAAATTATTTCCCTGGGAAGCCTGTCAAGTCAGTTTTCTCCAGATGTCTTGCTAATTTTCTCTTCTCAGTGACTAATTTGAGATTGCGTTCCTTTGACCGCTGGGCACTTTATGGTTAGTTAAGGTTCCTTCCCACCTTAAAAGGCACAAAAAATCTTTTTTATACTTGTTGATATGCAAAGTGTAGAAACCTGTTCGTTGCGGGAACTTCGATAGGCAAATGAGTCACTCAATCACTCACTTACTCCCTCAGGTGTAGACACTGTTCATAATTAGTCGGCCCAAAGGAGAGTACCTGAGCTCAACGATATGTTGGAATAGTAACCAAGCCCAACGCCATATTAGAATAGTAACTGAGCCCTACGCCATGTTGGAATAGTAACTGAGCCCAACGCCATATGGGAACAGTAATCATGCAGGTATTTCGCTAGATTGAATTCGCTAGGTGTTTCGTTAGGTGTTTTGCTAAATTGAAGTGGAGTTGACTTTGAATGTTCGAATTAATTCTATAGTAAACTTGAAGGCTGAATTTCATGAGCGTTTGACTCATCTAGGCATTAAAAATGACCAAGCTATGAGCATTCGTTTGCTGGAAATTGACCTGAAAATGAGCAAATCTCATGCTAATGTGGTTAGCTTTGATGAGAATTTGTCTTGTTCGTCGACCTTAATGAACTTATGTGAGTGAAACAAACAATTTTTAATGAACGAAACAGTTGTTGAGAACAGGACAAACATGGGCACCATTATATAATATTGTAATTCCATTTTTATAATTTAGTAACATCTAAACCTGAAGCCAGCCGAAATAGTGTTTTAAATATACGAGCTTGTGTCAGCCTTGCATTAGTCTTTGACTTGTTTTACTTTTCATGTTTGGCTGATTAGATCTCCTGTGAGATCCAATGTTCAATTTTAAAGCAGGACCTTCGTTCACAGCTTTGCGGTTTCTGGTTCAGGTTAAAGTTGTGTTCTTGAACTCTGATTGGAATACGAAATGCACCTAAACTTGGAAAAGAATTTCCAAATACTTGGTTTTGATAAGCTTGAATGATTTTTACCCTGTCTTTTGTTAACAAAGGGAAAGAAAATAAACCTCCTGTGAGCTTGTTGGAACACATATTTATGGGTCAACATATTTTTTGGATCAACACTGAAAATGCTTGCAAAAGAGGTTACTTATTTTGATGTATTTTGATATATAGAGGTAAGAGGGAAGATTTTTTGGGTAGGAGTGTCCTCTGGGACTGAAGAACCCTTAGCCTTTTCCACTCCATGTTCAGCTGCAATTTTGCCACCCTAGCTATTCTGGACGTATGTGTTTGTAATATGTGTGCAACAAAAGCCAACGAAAAAAGCCAATGCTTTGGATTGTGAGATAAGTGCGACCTCGCGTGGTGCAAACCTGGCTTGTTTTAACAGCCTTTAATAATATGCCAATAATTACAAGTTCACCAACATGTTTCATCTCTAGATTACTTAATCCACAAGTTTGGCCATAGGTCTCCTTTGGTTTCTTTTATTTGATAAAATTTAAGTCAGTCATTTTATCTAATGTTTACAAAAGAAAAGTATTAAAAATCTTAGAAAGCGGTTGAAATATTAATTTTAGGAAAAAAAAAAACAAAAACATATTTTCAAATAACCCTAAGTAATAAACCAGGGAGGTGTCAGAATCTCGTAAATGGACGAAACCACAAGGAGAATTTTCGTGGCAAACGCTCATCTTGGAGGTCATATTTCATGTTATTTGCTATTGTTTACATCACGCATTTGACAAAGTTTTAGATAGAAGTCCTTTGCACTTGCTCTCAAGTGGAAAAAGCGAAACAGAAAAACGTCCTTGGACCGAGGAAAAGAAACAAGCCCAAAGAAGAAAGAAAGGCCCATTTCTTTGGAGGAGAGAAAACAAAAATAACTTTCTAAAACCTGGCCACAAAGGCTCTTTAAGCTCTCTGTGCTTTGATTTGCTATTGTGCTTGACAGAATCACGTTGACCTCATGACCTTTGTTTGCAATCATTTTTCTGTGGAATTTTGAAAGGCCTCAAAGAGATCTGTTTGAAACTAGTAAAAAAATATTTTATTTTCTTCTTAATAACTAGTGTACATTTGGGGGAATACTGATACTTTGATAAAATGTTTTCTGTGTGCTGATATTGCCTATAATTTTGTCCGTTTGCTTTGAGCCACAAAGGGAAAAATATTTGTCTTTTCAAACCCTGAAGATGTGCCATTGTTGTTGTTGTTCAATGTTGTTCAATGTTATTGAATAACCAAAGAGCCTTAGCCTGAATGAACACAGGGTTCAAGTAAGCAAAGGTGCTACAAGGGTTGTTAAGAGGTTCTACAAGGTTCTACAATGCCGATTACTACTAATTAAACAAAGCAAGCATTTAACCACCATTCATCCATAGAGATTTTGTCTTGAGATTTATGTACATGTTGGAGTAAACATTCACTGTGTGCATGCTTTTATCAGTTCCAGCAAGCCTTACGAATGTAAGTCGTGACCAGACTGTGCGTGAAGACTCAAACATGAAGTTATTCTGTGAAGCAATTGGTAAACCAACATCAAACATTACCTGGACCAGAGAGCTGGAGGATGGTAGTAATGGTGAAGTACTGCACCAAGGTTCAACTTGGGATTTTCCAAAAATAAAGAGAACGGATGCTGGAACATACAAATGTACAGCTTACAATGGATTTGGAGCTAAAGTTAGCCAAGTATTTAAAGTGAATGTCACCTGTAAGTATTTTATGTGTCCAAAACATTGTCTACAGTGAACAGGAAGAGTGCACCCTGGTTTAACAATCAACCAATCACAGTTCATATATTAAATGTAACCAAGTTATCTGGTGATGAGCAGACTGATCTAGGCCCATGGTACTCCCACTCAGACAACTCCTTGGCTTTGAATCATGCAACTCTTGATGTTTCCTTTAGAAAAGCTATATAATCTGTGGTGTCTGGCAAATTTAACCAAATTTAGGAAGTCACATCAGCCCTTGCTGTTTTTCCATTCGGGTCCTCTTTCCAGGTTTAATTGGAAATGAGTTTTCAGGAGGGAGGAAATTAAAACAGACCACCACTAATTTTGGTTTACTACGCTTACCTTCCATATACATGTACTGATGTAATTAGCCTCAAACATGCAGATCTTATGACTGGTTTAAAACACTGACAATCCTCTGCTCTCAGGGAATGTTGGATGCTCAATGATTGTAGTACAAACATTGAAACAAAATTGAACGACTAACTGTTAAGCTTCAGTAACTAGGCAAGCTGATCAATAAACAAAATTATCATACAGTGAGTGAGCAAATTTCCTTTGCTTCTTTTTCTTGCAGTGTTTTCAAAAAGTTGAAAACATTTTCTCCTTGTTTCTTTCAAATTACAGACAGTTTTGGAGATATTAAAAAGCTAAATGTGCAGTGCAACTACATGTAACTAAAGGCCTTTTTCTCAGTTACTCCCTTTTCCTGGGTACTAAGCTTCATGTTAACAAAATGGTGAATGCAGAGAAAACTGAGCTCTACATTATTCCTGATACATTTGCATTCAGGGCCGTGACAAAGTTTTGAAGTTGATGGCTTTTTTGTTGTACATGTACATGTAGGTGGCTGATTTTGCCATCTTCTTGTCAAGAATCATGCCTTGAATAGCTCAGCAGAGTAGCCAGCTTAGATCATAAAGTACATGTAGATGGCAGTCAGCTACTTTTGACAACCCTGGCATTCGCCACTAAGTTGTAAAAAAAAGCTCATTTTAAATGGTCTGTTTTTTTTTTCCCTACTTTATGTTTGTGCTTGCATGTACAGATCCTCCCATAGTTTTTGAAGTGTCTGCAACTAGACAAGATGTTGAAGTGCAGGAAAGTGTATCTCTCGAGTGTACAGCAGAGGGAAATCCCCCGCCGAATTATACTTGGATGCCATGTAATGAACGTGTGTGTCATGAAAGCAAACTAGTTATCTCAGAAGTCCTGTATGATGATGTCTATGTTTGCACTGTGACAAACTCTCTGGGTAGTGATTCAGGAAATGTCAGTATTTGTAAGTAACTGAAAAATTATTTACAGTTGATGTACAGTTCATGGGATTTTTATGTCATTTTCTACTATAAGGTTGTCTGTAATTCTGACAGCCATAATTGTGTACCATTCCTGTAAATTTGCATGTATTTACATGTAGTTATTCTTTAATTCCTTCTCTGTATCATTTCCTTTCCTGAAAGACATTCATGCTTATTATTGTTACGCATTCTTACTGTGCATATGTTTCACAACTGAGTAACAAATTAGTGACCAATAATAGTGCAAAGAGACATGACTTTATTTGGATTTAATGATCTTGGAGGTTTGGTTGACTGTGTTTTTCTGGTGGGTTTGTGGTGGCCCCTGATTTCCCAAGTTTGAAAGAAATAAATGTTTTTATTAGACTTTTCAGGTATTTGCTCCAAACTCTATCAAATTGTACTCTGTTGAGCTCTTTGTTTAGCTGTGTGCTCTCAAATGCCTCTGAAAAGGATGAAAACATGCTTGTATGGAATTGCATACGAATAACTACATTGTTCTGACTAACTCAAGATAGTTTGCTCCTGGTGACTCAGGACACTCGTCTTCAATATTTTGTTCTAAAAATCCTGGAGACAGTGCTGTGTAATACCTGTGCCAATGTTTTAAAATCAGGCATCAATGTCTTTGAGGGGAACTATTTTTTTGTTTGTTTGTTTTTTGTAGATTAATTCACTACCTGACATTTTGAGCATCCAGAACTTTACCACTTTTAGCCTAATATGACTCTGTTTGACCTAATTATTGTCATTAGCACTCTGTACAATGGTTAATTTTCATGAAAATAATCTAGGTAAAAAGAAACACTCTGTCTTTCTTGTGAACATCCTTAATATGAAATCTTAAACAGGTGGTACTTTTTAGACTCCAGTGAGGGGTTATTTAGGAGTACACGTCCGTGTGTTAAATTTTGTTTCACGCAAGACCCATATTGATAGCAGTATTTGTAACTGAAATGGTCATCCTGCATAAATATGTTTTATATCATTGTAATTATTATATTACATGTACACCATCATTGAATGTCAAGATGCAAATTCATGTCACATGTAGGTCTTTATTGTCATTCATTAGATCATGCTACTTTCCTCTTTCCTCTGGGTTTCAATCCAGGACTTATGTAGTATTTGGCTCCTTTAGATCTAAAGCTGAAAATTTATTTGTTGATCTCTTGGGTATCCTGCTTTACACATGCATGTGCTGTCAGCCATAAATTGCGTATGTAGCTGCGGGTTAAAACCTTCTCACCCAGCAAGATTATGGATCAAGGCAAACTTCCTCTTTTAACTAATTAAACCAGTTATGATGACATTAATTAAGCTTGATAATTATTAATGTATAAATTTCTAATTGGTTACAAACAATCACAAGAAAGATGGATTTTCCAGAGTTTAAATCTCAAGTTTCAGGATAGAGTTTGAAAGTACAGTGTATGCAGTTATTGTTTTGTCACTCTGTTTAACCCTATTAGTTCTCTGTGTTATGGCTAATTTTGCATAATAAATGAATCTATCTTTTACATAATAAATCTATGTTTTTACTTTCTTATCAAGAGATCATATTCTCTTGTTCTTAATAGATAATTTAGTATTGGTATTGAAAATTCTCTCAAAATTGCATCCCGACGCCCAACGGGCCCTATATGGCGATGCTTTGGCACGTGACTTGGTTGACCCAAGCTCGCGTTCACAGTGAAGAGATTCCCACCACATTCACTTGAGAAAGACACTGTGACAGCGTCCAAAGCTTGTGATCGCTTAAACATTGACTCTGCTTTGGTATTTTATTTCTTATATGTCTGGATGTCCTACAGAGTCGGGACACTGGCTGAATGTCCTTAGTTGATAGCAATACATTTGTTATTTCTAAAATGTTTTCTTTCTCAGTTTTCCCAGTGAACCAAAGTTACAGTATGTCAATAATTCTCATTGTACATAATTGTATAATGTTATGAATTGTTCTTATTTCTTCAAACAGTCATAGGAGGAAAAGTGATTAATGTGACACTAGTCATTACAAGTGAGAGCTGTACTGATGGAAAGTACAATCAGTCCTCGTTATGGACAAAACTCGAGAAAACGGTAATTACTTGAACTAGGCATAGTCAATGAACCAAAATCCTGATTTGGCATCAAGTCTTACATGTATGAGAAAATGAAATGAATTATTCTTTCATCCGTCAAGTTTTCTAGCCAAATCAGAATTTTAGTATGATTGAATTTACCAGGATGGTCGGTTGGTAAAGGACTGGGTGGTTGATAAGGATTGATTGGTTGTTATGTAAGGGTTGGTATGTGGATGAGGATTGATTGGTTAGTAAATGAATGTTGGTTATTACAGCGAACACTCAGAGAAATTAAAACATAATTATCTTGTGACTGCAAAGAGCAAAATAATAAATTGTACGTAAACCATAGAATGTACAGAAGTGATGACAAACTCTACAAGGCAAAAGTTAATACCTCTAAGCGTTTGCTTTACCACAGTGAATGGCTCTGTTCTACTTAAAACCTTTCTAGTTGCATGGCATCCAACATAGAGTGCCTGCTGGATTCAAGCCTAAAGGTCGGAAATAGGCGGGAAGGCCGAAATCAATAGAGAATGGCAGATGTACAAATGTCAGGAACCGTACAAGTAGTGTTGAGTCACCCCATGTTTCCACTCTGTTCTAAATGGCAATAAGAAAAACCTACAAGCCGAGAAAATTAGGGATTATGTTACATGGCTCCTGTAGCTAGGTGGACCATCAGTGGAATGCTCACAGGCATTCTCTCACTTTCCTGTGGGACACATGTCCGTTATATTTTCTCTTGTGTTTTCTGTGCTGCTCCCCTAGCAACCAAATGCCTGGAGCAGGCTGAGAGTGGTTGGTTGATAGCAGGGATAGCAGGGTTCACTGCAATTTGAGTAGGAGGATAGGTGAAGATCAGTTGTTGGGTTGGTGAAAATCAATTGGTTGATAAAGATTGTTTGTATAGTAAGTAGTGGTTGGTCAGTCGGTTGGTTGCTCTGTCCGTTTTAGGATTGGCTTGTCACTGAGGATTAGTTGGTTTAAGTGTTTGTTTTGTTGTTCTGTTTTTTTTTTTAATTTAGATAGTTGGGTGATAAGGACATGACTGTTTAGGCTGTTAGGGAATAGATACATGTTGTTATTGTACATGTAGCATCAGTTGAGTGGAATCAATTGGCATCCATCTGCATTGTGTAAGTCATCTTACAATGGCATGCAGAATGTACATGTACCTGTATATATAATTATGGAATAACACATAGTGTTGTACTAACGTTACTATTCACGTTAACTTCCAGATTGACGAGGTTTTTGCTAATGAAAGTAGATACACTAGTGTACAGTTGAGAGATGCCAGGTGTGCAAACTTTTTTTTTTTATATTGACTGCTACATGTTACTTCATTTTGCAATATCTGCTTTTAAACTGAAGTTAAGTATTCTTACTAAGTTTTCCATGATGTCTCTGTGCTAAGGTGTGGCAGTGTAACTACCGATCTGGTGCTGAAGTTCAGTTCCACCATACAAGAAAGACAGGTTATTGATATACTTCGCAATGCTGCAAAGAATGGAATGCTGGGAGAGTTGAACGTCAACGTCTCATCCATAATAGGGACAAGACCCACTGTTAAAACAACAACTACAGCAGCCGCTACTACACCCTCCAGTCCATCTGACAGTACGTTTCTATGTCTATCAATTGAAATTTTTTATGGTTATTAAATCATTGCTCAATGTGCTTCAGTACATCTTTTTGTATTCAATGTCAAATAGAGCCAAACATGGATGTCCAAACTCACTGCAGGTTAACACACTTACTTTGTCTGTTTGTCTGTCTGTCCATCTGTCTTTCCAACTCACCTAGTTTCTATCTGTTCTTCCGGTAGTACTAATTTCTGGCTTCCTTGTACTTGTTTGCAGAGGTCATGTTGTGATTATTTCTGATCACATGTATCAGTCATCTCAATATTTGTTGTTTAGTTCTCCTGGTGATTTACATGTACTTGCAGATTGCCTTTCTTCTGATACAGTCTTTCGTTACTGATCTTTCGAGGTCATGTGATCCTAGAAATCTTTGTCTCTCATCTGGCACTTGTGCAGTCATAATGCATATATTGCCTGATGAAAGGGAGAAAAAAAATGAACGTTTCAAGTTGTAAATTATTTCGTTGTAAAGGGCTTGTTGCACTTTTCTGCTGGGTATGTGAAATTATAAATTTAAACGCTGAGATTTCGTGCCAAAATTAAGGAGTAATTTGTCACCCATGACATTATATGTAAGTGATTTTACCTCAAAGTTTCATCAACATCAATTCACTGGAACACTCTCAAAGTAACAATTAATAAATGGGTGTGTGAAACGACGAGAAAGTTGCGATTCAGTTTCACGGTTTAGAAAGTATGCTAAATCGTGCTAATCATTGTGTATTGCATTCCTGCGTGATGTAAACCGAAAACTACGGTACTGTCATCGATGACAACACAATGTACTTGCCACCGTTGTAATTCAGTTAACATTGATTTACACATTTTAGCATAATTTTGTAACTAGTGAATTTGTAACGTGGCTTTTTCTACAGTTCAGGCACCTTCCTTGATAAGTTTGAAAGTGTTCTAGAGTATCAATATTAGTAAAACTTTGGAGTAAATCTGTTTGTGTTATCACGCATCCATATACTAATGTTTCAGAAAATTCTATTGAGCCGTTTTTTTAGATTTTTGGAAAAGCGCTAAAAATCAAAATTACCCGAAAATTATAATGGAAGTGACGTTACATGTAAGAATCTTGACAAAACGCAAGTAAAATCATTTCAATATTCTTGGAGATGAGCTCAATATCAAAAGCTACCTGAAAAATTAAGTTGGAGTGATCATAAGCACAAGTCTTGTTCTCGAGATCGCAAAAAAGTAAACCAACAAAACTTTTATGGCTTCAAGACAATGTTCAACTGTCGGTTCAGTTACTATTATAATGGTGCTAAAAGCATAATTTTAAATGTTTTTTTTTTTCGTTTAAGGTTACAGTATACCTTCAGGGGTGTCTCGTGTGCTGGCGATGTAGTGTGTGCAGTTTAAGCTGTAGATACCTAAACCCCTATTTCAAATTGAAGCTTATAGAGCTGGCTATCAAACTGTAACAAGAAGTTTGAAATAAAATGAATTGACGAATTTTTCATGAACACTAAATGCGAGTGCCCAAATCACCTTTCAAAAGCTACAAGTCAAAGTGAATTTCGTTTTTCGCCAATTTAATTTTTTCCTCGGTTTCAGGGTCCAAAGCGCTTAAAAAACGTGTCTGCGTTTTGGCATATTCAATTGCAGTAAAAAATTACAGACCATTTTTGAAATAGGATTTAAAAAATGTGGAGTAATCGTACAAAAATCGCTCTCGAAGAAAAGGTATTTCGAAATTAACAATTCCCAGACATGCTTTTGTAGTTTATAAGTTAAACTAGCTTCTGTCCAAATTTGAGGGCAATTGAACAAATTCCCTCTGAGTTATAACTCTCTAAAGTGTCTGCTTCAAGTGAGAAAATTTATTTGAGAAAACAGCGCTAAGAAAAATCTTCTGCTTTGCAAACAAACTCCGCCCACAAACGCCTTCAACTGGGTTCTCAGATAACTGAGCCAATCAGTGCAGAGAAAGTTTACAACCGTTAACCTCCTGGTGAAATTTACACGCGAATCTCTAAAAACTCTAACTTGTGTTTTGCAATGCGCTCAAGGAACCGAAGGCGGAGAGATAATTTTTCTGTAGCTCGGTTTTTCTCGAAGCTGGTCTGGCAAAATGGGGAAGACTAAAAGGATACAAATGCTAGAGTGGCTGAGTGAAGAAAACAAACAAAAGATAGCGCGGGGAGCAACTGTGTGTGGTCAACTCTGCAGTAATATTTTAAATGGTCTCAATGAGTCCGGCGATTCGTCGATATCGGACTCATCAGAAGAGTCTCTCTCAACATCCCTGTTATTCCTGTCAAGTTCCGAAATTTTTACAGAACCTTTCTCTTCTCTTACCACAAATATTTTGCCAGCCTTATACGATAGCTTCATCCGCGTGGCGAACTTTTGCTTCTTCATTCATCGATGTAGTTTCATTCGTTCTACGCTGTTTTCGCTTTTCGAACTGGTCCATGGTTTTAACGTGGTCTATGTTTACTTATAACTTAATAGAGTAATACCAAAAATGCTGGGTAGTCAGAACAACAATGCTGATCAACTGAGTAGTCAATTCGTGACATCCATACAGGTAATTCCTGCGAAAATCATCTCGGTTGATTGCATACACACCATAGGGCTGTCAATCAAGAGGTAAACTTTTACTTCCGGTGAAAACGTAAAACCGCCATTTCTCCGCCAATATTTAACCTTTTTCAAATTTTTTTTCAGAAATCAGAGATTGTTCTTCGACCACTACTTTGACCCAAAAATTCAAATTTGAAGAAAATTGCCCACCCGAAGGTATCCTGTAACCTTAACTCAAGATCAGATATACACATTTTTTATTCTTGTATATTCTACCTCCCCTACACTAAACGTTAAGGCACTGCTATTAGCTTTTTCTTATTACCACATATGGTTCGTGCAAAATTCATGTTCTACTGATTTTCCATGGAAATATCGATTACCTTTAAAAATACATTTTTCCAAACTGCAATCCATTTTAATTACTGGTGTAATTTTCCTACCGATCTGTTTAAGGGATAACTATTAAAAAGCTGTTTGAAAATGCTTTGTATGGTATAATGGAATTGCCGCTTGCATGTCATTCTCACAGTCACACTTGCATGCTCACTTGTTTTGCATTCTTCCCCACGGTTTTTGAGGAAATGAGTGACTGCTTACAGTCTAAAAAAAACTGTATTGATACACCTTAAGAGTACCTGCCTGTAAAAATCAGACAAATCCTTAATTCTGCGGCAAGGGTTGAAAATTCGATTTCTCTTATATTTTTATTTTAGATAGGCTAGGCCATGACAAAAACTACCGGGCAGTTTTTTGGCAAACTATCCTTTTATTTCAAAGAAAAATGCAAATTACCAAATTCCGTTAAAATCGTCATTTGACGCACTATTTTACTAAACAAGTTTGAGAGCGTCGCATGTAAAACCACATCAATTCTTCATCTTTAAAACACTCAAACAGTTTTGTGCAATGTTTAAATGTGTACTGGGTCGATTTTGGGGAATGTTGCATTGTCCTTTTGGGTGCAAAATAATTAAATCTTGAGCACATGTATTTCGTTCACTTGGAAGTACTTTGTAGATATAATTAATTTTCACCATGTGCGAAACCTTTAAATGAATTAAGCTTCTGGTGGTTGAATCGTGGAAGGATGGTGTACAGATTCCTGTAAAAATTTCTTTGAGCAAATGATCGTGAGCGACGCGAGAGCTTTTCAAAGTACGTTAAAAATGCAAATATTTGACCTTCCGTCTTCAAATTTCAAGTTATGGTTAAGACATATATTTTTGCTCGCACCACATGTCTTGACCTATATTAAGTTGAAATAGACAAAGAGCTGATAATTTCGAAATGTTCTAACCTTGTTTGCTGTAAAAGGCAGGTCCTAAAGCCGATTCAAAGGGCTATCTTTAAAATGGGAACAGCGAATCGGGGAATGGGAACGGGCAACGGGCAACGGGCAACGGGCAACGGG